TGCAGCACTCAAAGTCAAACAGAGTCTTCCAAATTTTATTTTTAGAATGATTTTTTTTTTTTTTTTTTTTGGTCCTTCGAATCGGTTTTTTACTCCTGGCAACTGCCTGGAAAAGTCCCTGCAGTTTTCTTGGCAAGATTTTCAGAAGTGGTTTGCCATTGCCTCCTTCCTAGGGCTGAGAGAAAGTGACTGGCCCAAGCTTTTGCCTAAGGTGGGACTGGAACTCACACTCTCCTGGTTTCTAGCCCAGTGCCTTAACCACTATGGCACTACTGGCTCTCTTTTTTAGAATGATAGGCAGGAAAAAATATTGGAATCATTTTATCCATATCTAATTGTTTGAGTTAATTAAATTATATGAAACTAAAACTATTTTTGTTCTAGCCCTACTTATTTTGTTCTTTGTTTTTTGGAACGTTGCCCATCCAGTATGCTACTCAAAGACCCAGTGTAGCCTCAGTCCCCCCACCAGATTTATGCAGTCTACATTAAGTGCACAACTGAATCATTGAACTATCTGTTGCATCTCTTAATACATTTCTCTCTTTCTAAATCCATCAAAAGTAGCTGAGTTTGAGCAGCTTCATCTTGTCCCAACTTTCCTTTTGTTTTCTTTTTTCCAGATCTACAAATCAACAAAATGTAATGACATGCAGCAGTCTGGCAGCTGTCCCAGAGGACCCTTCTGTGCTTTTGCACATGTAGAACGTATGTGGTCTTCTCTTTATCTAGCAATAGTCTGTCTACTGAGTGTTGTTTAGAGTACAACATTGCTCACTGTATTAAACCAGGCGAGTACAATTGTAAGCAACCAAACTTCCTTCCTTCCCCATAATTAGTCATGTGGCGGAAAAATCTAAAAATAATTTATAGTGAATTTTATTGCAAACTGCATATATTTTTTTAGAAAAAATTCTTTAGTCATCAGATGGTGATAGCTCTGGGCTACGTTCTCAAAGCAGAAGTGACATCCAGTGGCTAATTAAAGAATGATACTGTGTACTACTTATTTTGAAGTTGTAATTTGCTGTTCATACAATTTAGTTCTGGGGAGCAAAAAGGAACAGTTTTTCTGCTATATTGTTTGTCATGCTCTTCCTTCAACTGTGAAACAAGGGAATGTGAAGAAACAAACAGCAAAAATCTGTTTGACACTGCTTCCCAACAATGAACATATACACAATTGCTTTTAGAATTGCCTAGAGCATCCAAATATTATTCTTCAGTCATCTTTGATGCTTAATCTCCCTTCTGTCTGTTTTTTCTTCCATTTGTAACAGGGATAATCACTTTAGACAGAAAAACTTGGAACAGAAGCATAAACCTTCAAGGGGTCACTCCCTGAACACCTAGTTGCCATCTTAGACACGGGTGGTTTTTTTCACTCCAAAATGTGCACCTCTTTTTGTACACCAAAATCCCAGAATTTCAATATACTGTGGCTCCATGATTTTCAGATTAGGCCTCTACCTGTCAACCTTTTGCATTCAGAGTAGGATAGCTGTTGTGGGCCTTTTTAGACAAGCATTGTGGGATTTTATGCAATGCTTCAGGTGCCAAAAAATAACATTTTTTTTAAAAAAGGCCAAGGTCTCATGAAAGAACATACAGATAGTGCTTGTCTCTTGAGATTTCAGCTATTTTTAATTTGGCAAGTCAGTAGACATCAAGCTACTAACTGGTGCCCAATTCTGGGATCGCATTATGTCCATGTTGAAAGACCAGTTATTTTTCAATCATAAATGAAAGTGTTGCTTTTAATTTTTAAAAATCTACATGGTTTGCAATTTGATTATATTTCTATTTTAATATAAACCTACGTGTATAGTAAAGTTATCCTTAGTTCCTTTCAGGTGATAGGAAAGGAATCAAGACTTTTAGCCAGACCTTTCCAGTCTGATTTAGTTAATAATTATTTAAAGCTTTTTATATTTTATATTTTATTGTTAGTTGCCTTAAGTGCCCTTTAGGTAGAAAGGTGGAATATACATTGAACAAAGAATTGTAACTGTAATAAAGCCAAGCAGCCTAGATCCTAATTGAAAGAGCTCTTATGAATATGTAAGTCTGCCATTCTTTAAGACTATCGGTATAGAAAAAAAGGAAGATGCTGGACTTTCTCCCTTGCTCTTGTGATGCCTTCTTGGTTCTCCTGTGGTGATTTGTAAGTTGCTGCAGGTGGAAGATTAGCCCCACAGAACTAGGTGCTGAGCATTGTCTCTTTACCCTTTGCTCCTACAGAGCTGTGTGTGAACCCATTTTTTTAACTGACTCTGCTGTGTGGTTTGTTTTGTTGTGTTTCTTATAGAACCTCCGCTTAGTGAAGATTTACAGCCAACGTCGGCTGTCTCCAGCCCAACGCAAACTGGCCCTGTCATGTATATGCCCTCAGCAGCGGGTGATTCTGTTCCTGTCAGCCCTTCTAGTCCACAAGCCCCAGACCTTAGCAATGTACGTAAAATGGTTACAAAATTCCTCACTGAGCACGTGATACTGCAAACCTCTCTAAGGTGTCTTAGAAAGTGTCTTCTAGAAGAACATCGCTGGCATTTTTTGATCCAAAGGCTTTGAATTAGGGAGAACAGGTTTCCATGGGGTTTTTTCTTAATTTTTTCAGGAGCAGGGATGCGGGAGGGGTAGGAAGTAGGTCTTTAGAGGGGCATAATGACATGGGCTTTAAATCACAACTGCTACTTTCAAACTGGATTAGAAAAGCTGAGCTGTTTGAAATCAATTTGAAATCCTCTTTGAGCTGCCATGTAGAGATACTTCCTGTTTTGAATCTGTCCCATTTAGAAGGGTTCTTCACTCATCGGAAAAGGACACTGCCTCGAAGACAGCTCTTCAAAACCTTGAGTTTGTGTTTTTTATGTATCATTTCTGATGGAAGAAGAACTAAAATCAGGAAAGATTCAATGTCTGATGGTGGCTACTAAGTCCTGTTGTTTTGAGTCCAGTTTAAAAAGCTTGTTTGTGAATAATGGCAACGGCTCCTAGATAAAATTTGGGATTGCAGCTTCAGAATTTGTGTGGTACCTTTGTAGCATTTAAATGGGGCAACTTATGTTAGTTAGTTCTAGTTATTCCTCAACAGGATCTTGCCTCTTTTCAAGTAAATGGATCCAGACGCTTTTTAGAAGTGGAATTGCTGCTGCCTAGCATGAAATTTCACACTGGGGAGTTTTGAAGAGTAGATTATAATATTGCATGAGATCTTACAAATATCCCAGTCCAAATTTGTATCATGCTGGGACACATATTTGTAATATGGCTGATATTTTATGTAAACTGCAAGAAGGATAAAGCATATTTTAATTAAAAATATACCCGAGTAAGTAAGTCTGTGTCTCCTAGAAGTCTGTAGCCCATGTCATATATGATGTGTTTGGTTTATCTTTGCACTGTAGGTATGGAATAAACCAGGAACTCTACCAACTAGCCCTACTTCTGCTACAGTAAGTATTCTCTCTCGCGGATAAGCACCTCCAAACTGCCTGCTTTCTGAAGAGGAAGCAGGACATATTTCATGAGTTTATTTTTTCCACCATGAGAGTTACAAACCATTTTAAATATGAAAGCATCAATTTCCAGTAAGAAATTTACTTGATTTTGCGTTAGAAATCCCTACGATATATAGAGATTGTAGCATCTGAACCAGTATCTGGATCTCTAAGAGGCACAGAGAACTGTTAAAGCATATGAACTAAGAAGGACAATGTAAAGTTGCAGTGAAGATATTCTCATCTTTGAAAATATGGCTATGTTAAAAAAATGCTCAGTGTTTCTAATGAGAAAATGTCACAAAATGTCATTATTTGGCACAAAATGTCATTATTTGGACCTTTGTGTAAATTGGTGTTTTGTATATCTAGGTAACCTATTTGAATTTAACAACTTACAGTGGGGCAAAAAAGTATTTAGTCAGCCACCAATTGTGCAAGTTCTCCCACTTAAAAAGCTGAGAGAGGCCTGTAATTTTCATCATAGGTATACCTAAACTATGAGTAGGTGACCAAATACTTATTTTCCACCATGATTTGCAAATAAATTCTTTAAAAATCAGACAATGTGATTTTCTGGATTTTTTCCCCCATTTTGTCTCTCATGCTGAGAGAGGCCTGTAATTTTCATCATAGGTATACCTAAACTATGAGTAGGTGACCAAATACTTATTTTCCACCATGATTTGCAAATAAATTCTTTAAAAATCAGACAATGTGATTTTCTGGATTTTTTCCCCCATTTTGTCTCTCATGCTGAGAGAGGCCTGTAATTTTCATCATAGGTATACCTAAACTATGAGTAGGTGACCAAATACTTATTTTCCACCATGATTTGCAAATAAATTCTTTAAAAATCAGACAATGTGATTTTCTGGATTTTTTCCCCCATTTTGTCTCTCATGCTGAGAGAGGCCTGTAATTTTCATCATAGGTATACCTAAACTATGAGTAGGTGACCAAATACTTATTTTCCACCATGATTTGCAAATAAATTCTTTAAAAATCAGACAATGTGATTTTCTGGATTTTTTCCCCCATTTTGTCTCTCATGCTGAGAGAGGCCTGTAATTTTCATCATAGGTATACCTAAACTATGAGTAGGTGACCAAATACTTATTTTCCACCATGATTTGCAAATAAATTCTTTAAAAATCAGACAATGTGATTTTCTGGATTTTTTCCCCCATTTTGTCTCTCATGCTGAGAGAGGCCTGTAATTTTCATCATAGGTATACCTAAACTATGAGTAGGTGACCAAATACTTATTTTCCACCATGATTTGCAAATAAATTCTTTAAAAATCAGACAATGTGATTTTCTGGATTTTTTCCCCCATTTTGTCTCTCATCTCATAGTTTAGGTATACCTATGATGAAAATTACAGGCCTCTCTCAGCTTTTTAAGTGGGAGAACTTGCACAATTGGTGGCTGACTAAATACTTTTTTGCCCCACTGTAGCTGTTCAGAAGTTTACTACCAGCAGTGGTACAGAGAGAGTGTTGTAATCTAGCAACACGAATTATTATCTTCTTTTCCTCCTGCTTCTGTTAGATTCTCTGTAGGAATAGCAGTCTTGGAAGCCCATCTAATTTATGTGGATCCCCTCCTGGTGCAATTGGAAAACCCCATAGTTTGGAAAGCATTGGTTTTCCCACAGATTCAGTATCTACTGCCAGCAGCTATAAGAAGGCACCTGGATTTGAGCGGGAAGACCTGGTTGGAGCAGAGTATCTAAAAAATTTTAAATGTCAGGTAGGTAGGAAATACTAGAAAAGGATATCAGTCACATATATATTAATGATATATTAGCTTTGGAATCAATTGTTGATACCTGAAGCTAGATGTGTAGTACCTGTGAGTGCCTTAACGTCCCCAGATAAATTTCTTGGGGTCTGCCTGCCCATCCTAATTTTATAAATCTACATTAATATTAGTTTTCATTCTATTGTGAGTTGGATGCACTGCAAATGAAAAGATGCCTTGCAGTATGTTTTTTCTTCCTTGGAATACCTCTTGTATTCAATAAGCAGAAAGCCCTTACATTCCACCTGAGCCTAGCATTATTGTTAGAAAATGACCATGTTGAACGATTGAAAGGCATATATTCCTTTGAAGTATACTCAGGCATTCAGAAAAAGGAGAGAATGGCATGGAAAACACCTCCCCACCTCTGCACTAGTGGTTGCTATACTCATGTAGTTTGTAGGGTTGACATGCAGTCAACTAATGCATACATAATTGTTGCAAACTTCTTGTTATGGATCTCTGTGTAGTACTGTGGGAATCCAAGAGGAGCAGGTCATGAGAACATAAGTAAATGCAAGCAAGCATGAAGAGACTTTTGAGCAAGATCTAGAGAGATAATGACATTGCTGGAAAGATTTTGTATTTTAGAGAAAAAACAAATCTCAGAAGAATTTGAAGTCTGGGCTTTGGTGATATTCAGAGGAAAAATTATATTTGCTCTATTTGATGTTAGACTTAGGGGCCTCAGAAATGATTCATAAAACAGACCAAAGTAAAAATTATGGAAATATAAATTCTTCTTTTAGATAAGCAAATAAGAATTTATTCAGAATACAGATAGTCCTCGCTTACTGATTGCCTCATTTAATGACCATTCAAAGTTACAACAGTGTAAAAAAAATAGCTTTGCGACCAATCCTTACATTTATCAGAGTGTCCCATGGTCACGTGATTGTCATTTGTGTGCTTCGCAACTAGCTTGCAACATGCAGAGTTAATAGAAAAGATGGAAGTAAAACTAAGTCGTAGTTATGTGATGTTTCACTTAACGACCACGGTGACTCAATGACTAAAGGGATAAGGTCGTAAGCCCGTCATAGTCACATGATGTTGTGCTTAGCAACAGAGTTACCAGTCCCAATTGTGGTCACTAAGTGAGGACTATCTGTAGTCCCAGTTTTTCCTTAAAGTTCATATTTTGTCCTGAGACCTGTTTTTGATTTTATGTGTAAACCCAGTGTTATAGAAATATAAATTCTATTATTAATCCAATATGTATCAATTATTTCAATTAAATTATTTTGTCAGGAGTTCAAGGCAGCATATATAGCACTCCTTCATCCCATTTTTCCTCATAAGAATAAAATTGTGAGGTGGGTTGGCAGAGCGTGTGACTGGCTCAGAGTCACCCAGTAAGCTGCTGTGGCTAAGGGGGGACTAGACCTTGAGTCCCTTGGTACTAGTCCAGTGTCTTAACTATGGGATTGTCAGGTTTAACCCAAAGAACTCCAAGAGACAATGCAAATTCAGTTCTGCTGTGTTTATTAGCTATAACCTCTAGAAAGAATCTCCCCAGACTGAACCCTAGCTCCCAAGCCAGCCAGTCTCAACACCGTGAATTCCTCAGGGAGGTGCCAGCCTCATCCTCTTGCACTTCCCACACTCTTGCGGTGAACTAAGAACATGCTTATCTCCCTGAGCCTGGCCTTCATAATTCCGTTCCATCACAGGGATCATGCTTTCATACATACACATTTTGTATTTCAATACAATTTCTAGTAAATTTCTAGTAAATATCATGTATTATTGCAGTATATTATTAAACATGAATCTCACCATAGTATGATGAACCTCTAATCTTCCATCCCTCACTCTGATTATAGCTATGGGCCAGGGCATCCTGACTTTTCTTAGAGAACTCTAATACTGAAGGTGCCAATATGTACAGTGCCATCTTATGCTCTTGCTGGCAGAGCAAAAATGAGGAAGAAGCAGCAGTTGCTGCCTTAGTTATCTTCTCTAGCCACTTCCCCCTCAGACAGTTAATTTCAGGGGGAAGTTAATAAGATAATAAGGCTAGTAAGTGTGTCAGAGTGTGGGAGGCCTTTCGATCCAGTGGATCAGTGCTCTACCTAGCAGGCAGCCTGACCAACTCCCCCACTTTATTATTCCCCTCCTTCTACATTTGAACTTTGCGGTGTTGGAAAGAAGTACAGATAGTCCTTGCTTAACAAGCATTCATTCAGTGACAATTCAAACTTACGAAGGCACTGAATGAATGGTAGTTATGACCAGTCCTCAAAGTTATGGCTATTGCAGCGCCCCCATGTTCATGCGATCAAAATTTGGGCACTTGGCAACTGGCCCTCATTTACAACCGCAGTGTGCACTTCAATTCCACCCACCTGCTTATCTTCCCCCCCATCTCTACTCTTTTGGCCACCCTGCACTCTGCTGCCGCCTACCCCTGCTGCCCCCAGCTGACCTTCACCATCTTCTTCCTCCACTGCTGGCCCGGGATCCAGGTGCTGGACGAGGGTGCAGCCCCAGGAAACGTGTAGCCTCATCTGCCAAAGGGAGCTCACCAGGCCCAGCTGGGGAGGAGGCAGCAGGACAGAGCCAACAGTTATTGCAGGGCAGGAGAAGTGTGAGTTCCTCGCCTAATGACCACAACTGGGACTATGAGAACTGCCATCGCTAAGCGACATGGTTCCATGATGTTTTGCCTAATAGCTGCTTCACTTAGCGATGGAAATTCCAATCCCAGTTAGGGTCGTTAAGCAAGGACTACCTGTAAGCTCAAAGCATGGGAGAGAGTTCAACCTGGTTTCCACCATTAGATTTGCCAGAGAGGGAATTCACAGAATCCTGTGGTCTCTAGTACACCTTCCTAGATGTGACACAATTGCAGCCATCAGCCATGGTTGGGCAGCCTATAAACTATAGATGCCACCTGTCACCTCTTTGGCAGGTCCTCAACATGCTGAAATTAAACTTTTGTAATTGACTGGCAAAATGGTTGACAATTCTCTTTTTATTCAAAATTGAGAATGGGAATGGGAGAAGAAGGTCTCTTAGAGACTTGAATTGCTCAAAGGGCCTTTTTTAGATCAATGTCAGGCTTTTTTGAGGGTGCAAATGGGAAACAGAATTCCCTTGGAGGCAGTCTTTTCAAACCATGAAAACAGTTGGAAATTAGTAAAAAAAAAAAAATTGATTTTCAGGCCATGGGGTTTTTTTTCCCCAGGGGGATTAAGGGTGGGAATGGGAGTAGCCTCTCAGGAGCCTCTCATCCCTATTCTTGCATTAAAAACCAGAATGAAACAAAAAGGGCCCTGACGATTTTAAACTGAGCTGTTCTGGTGGCATTGCTATGTCATTCACTAGCTTCCTGGGAGGCTGAATTGTGGCTCCAGACCCATGAAGTTTGCCCGCCCCTGAAATGAAATAGTGTGGGATATATCTAAAGAACCCTTCTTTTAAAGGAAAATAATGAATGTTTTGCATTTTGTATATATGATCTGATCTTTTGCTGAATCTATTCATTTAACACAGCCAAACAATAATACTAGTTCATTCAGTGACAATGGGCATCCTGTCCTATCTACAGTTTCCCTTAATACAATGCTTCAATAAGTTCTTATATTGGGGAGTAGGGTTGGCAACTTTGTGGGAATCAGGGATTGCACTTTGCCTTTCAGGGTTTTGGGGTCATATAAAACAATTAAGAGGATCCTCAACAATACATAAGTAAGGGTCAAAATTGTAACTAAAATCCACCCCAAAATTTGCAGTAAATGTTTAAAATGGCATTTTCCTGCTGAATTTTGGAAGCAAATGACACTTTCAAAAGGTATCATAGAGATGCTGGTCAGTCAAATCTTTATAACGGTCAGACCAGCAAAGGGAGATGCTGGTGCTTCTGGGCCATAATCTGCCCACTTCTGTAATAAATATCCATACATGAGATTCATTGCTTCTTAATAATTATTTCATTTTTCAAATAGTCAAATACATATTTGTTAACTGATAACCATGACACTAATACACAATATACATGTAATAGTTCAGGTGTCAGACTGGACTGAGAAGATTTGGGTTCATATCCTCACTTCACTGCTGGAGCTCAGTAGTTGACTCTGAATCAGCTGAGTCTACACTGCAGGGTTCTGTTGAGATGATTTAATTAGAGGAGGAATCTAGGTCCAGATGCAAGCTTAAAGCTCTGATGCTCCAGGCAAATCGTCTTTCTACTTCTGTTGATATTTAATTATCAATGACACCAAATTATCAGTTAAGTTATAATAATGACTCAGTGTTCCCTATGATTTTTTTTTCAAATTAAATGGATCTGTTTTCTTCAATGATTATGGCCATACCTCAAGCCCATTTCATTGATAATACAGGTAGTCTGTGCTTAACAACCACAATAGCAACGAGAAAATTTGTTAAGCAGGGCAGTCATTAAGCAAGGCATCATATGACCACACCCGATTTTATGACATTTTTTGCAGCGGTCGTTAAGTTGAATCACTTGATCGTTGCGTGAATCACGTGGTTCCCAATTGATTTTGCTTGCCAGAACCTGGCTGGGAAGGTCACTAATGGCAGTCATGTGACCCCAGGACACTACAACCATCATAAGTGCAAGCTGATTGCCAAGCTCCTGGGTTGCGATCACATCACCATAGGGATGCTGCAACTGTCATAAGTGCAAGGACCAGTTATAAGTAGCTTTTTTTAGCATTGTAGCAACATCAAACGGTCACTAAATGAATGGTCGTTAAGTGAGGACTACCTGTACAGTGGTAATACAGAGGCACTCCCAGTTTACTTCAAAGTAAATCATACTATTTCCAAAGGAATTTGTATCTAGGAGATTATGCTATACATAGAGAAGAATCATCCTGGCTAATCCAACCCTATTGCTTAAACTAGATAACTAGATTTACAGATGGTACTTTTCTGCCCAGATTTCCCCCCTCCTATAAGAACTTTTTTAAGTATCCAAACAACATTGTCTTCAACTTGTTATCTCCTTGTATTTCCCTAAAATGTCTCCCGTCTTTTACTTTTTAAAAAGTAGATGTTAAAGAAAAGAAAAAATATTGGTACAATATCTTTCAGTTGCTAGGTTACAGGAGACCCTTATATGAAGCACTCTGGCCCTTTCCTTTGTAGAACCTAATGTTATGAAAAGCACTCAAATAAGAGAGGAAGTTCTGTAAACATCTCAAGTAGTTGTCAATTTCTCTCAAATAGTTGTCAAGTATGTATTCTCTCTTTTTTTTTCCCGTCTAATTACTGCAGCAGGCAAAAATCAAATCCCATTCCATGGAACATAGAACCCAAGAACAACCTCTGTTACAACCCAAGCAGGTATGTTACTCCAAAGGATGCTACTCAGTTCCTAGAAGTTCATATAGTCTCATATGTAGATTCCAGCTGAATCTGTGGAAAGCTAATTGGAGCTGAAAGGATGATGATAACTTTCCTAAGTGTTTAAGAATCAATCTGGGTTCTTATCTTCAGATAATGCAAAAAATTGAAGGTGGAGTATATCGAAAAGTATGAAGTTAGAATATTTGGATACTAGTTGGGTTAGATTATTAGGGGAAAGTTGACTGCAGCTTACAAAACTTCTTTATTTTGGGTCTCCTTTGAATTTTGAATGGCAAGATTACACATAGTGATCATGAATTATGTGACTTGATGATCATATGATGCAGCTAATAATATACGTAAATTGTTCTAAGAGTCCCAAACACGCTTCCTTTGTTGTGTTGTGTTGTGTTGTGTTATGTTGTGTTAGATGCTACGAACCAATGAGTTGCCCTGAGTGTAGCTTAGGATTGAAGGGTGAGATATAAATGTTAGGAAGAAATGCTTACCTATTTATGACAAGTGTATTATTACTTCTCTCTGAATAGATTTATTCAGGTGCATCATTAGAATGAATAATTCAATACATGAATGTATTTTCCTCTTTCAGGATATATTAGGAATTCTTCCTGTTGGCAGCCCACTGACATCTAGCATCTCCTCTAGCATTACTTCTAGTTTGGCAGCAACACCACCAAGCCCAGCAGGCACCAGCAGTGTACCAGGCATGAATGCCAATGCCCTTCCTTTCTACCCAACCAGTGACACTGTGGAGTCCGTGATAGGTAATACTGCCTATGCACATTGAGTGGTGGTGCTGGGAATCCAGAAGAAGAATATCAGTTATGGGTGGGAAGCCTTTGGTTGGTTTATTTGTGGGACTTACTGTAGAAACTATGCTTTATTGCTATGTGACTTAGCTGATTATTTACATTGAGTATGAACTCTTTCATATTTCATAAATTAAACTATGGAACAATCAAACATAAGAGCTCCCGTAGCTGAATTCTGTAAAAATACGGCAAAAACCACAAGGAGTCTTTTAGTTTCTTAAAGGCTAATAAATTTATTGTGTTATAAGCTTTTATACCACAATAAACTTATTGGATTGTGACATGGCTCTGCTGTTTTTGCTGCAACAGACAATGTGGCAGGATGGTGAATGGAAGGTCATGATTGCTCCTAAATGTGTGTGTGTGTGTGTGTGCGTGTGTGTAGATCTTGTTTGATGTTCTTCATCTTATCCTATACCTTCCTAAACTCATAAGTCACCAAACTGGCTCCGTGTGCCACTGTGGTGGGCCAATCCACTAAAAACTCAGGCACGTGGCATGTATGATCTGTTACTGAGCAGCCGTTTTATAAATATTAAAAAGATGAAACATTTCCATTTATCATAGCAATAACAAAAAGTCTCAGGTGAAGATTTTTGAAAGATTTTATCTACATTTCTGTTTAAGAGTTGATATATCATATTTGAATTACTAGACTTCCCAAGAAGAGTAAGAGTGCAGATTATACAAGGATCGACATTTTTTCTCTTTTTTAATGTATTATTATTATTATTATTATTATTATTATTATTATTATTATTATTGATACGTAGCCTTGGTTGATGCTCGTCTCTTATTCTCCAGGTAACTTATTAAAGTTTTTATTAACTGTTAATGTTCTGTTACAGGCCTGGAATGATACAAATAAAAGAGACAATTTTTGCCACTAAATT